CGCCGCCAACCGCCCCGCAGCACTCTGATAAGGACATTCCACGGGGACGTTACGACCAATCGCAGGCCGGCCAAGGCGGAACGTTCCGCAGTATGCTAATGAGGTTCCTATAAGAACCACTGCGAAGCTACATCTCGGACAGAGCGCGAAGGGGCGCTTTCTCTGTTCGATGTGGTACGTGCGGGTCGAGCGGACTCCCACCTCCCCCAACTCTTCCGTTCCCCTGCTGCGCAGTTCTGTAAACACTTTAAACTCCGAGCGCCGGTCCCTGTTCCCAAGCCCCCGACCTCCCGGGAAAGTTTCCCCTGCACTGCCCCGCGGGCTCCGCGCGGCCGGGGTCTGCAGAGCAGAAGTCCGTGTACCCTCGAACCAGCCGCGCTTCTCCGAACCAGCAGCGTGTTGCGCCCCCAAACCCGGCAGATCGGCGTCTGCCCCGTGCTCCTCCCCTTCCACCGCACACCGCGCCCCTCGCCGTCGGCCCCAAGCCGAGTCCAGAGCCAAGAGAGGGCCGGGGCTAGCAGGGCCCGGCCGATCGATCGCACGACCCCGGCTTTGGGACAGCCCTATACTTTATGTAACACTCGTGTCCAGGACCGGGCGGGGGGCGGCGGCGCTCCGGACCCGCCGGAGCCCGGCCGGCAGCAGTGCTTCCAGCTCCGGAACCCGCGCCCAGCAACCGCGGCGCCCGCACAGCCCTCCAGCTCGCGCGGCCGAGCCCCGCGCCCCCTCCCCGAGGACGCGGCCGAACCCCGCGCCCCCTCCCCCGCAGCACCGCCTCATCACTTCACTACAAAGAGAGCTTTGGTCGCGGAGCCTTGCAGCCAGCCGCTCGCGCTCCTTCCTCCTCCGTGTCCCGGGGCTCCGAACACAAGGACCTCGGGGGATCAAAGGCGCTCCAGACCTTTTGTTCCTGCTCCTAAGTAGACCCCGCCGGGCCGCCGCTAGGTCCGGGTACAACAGGACCCGCTAGCCCCGTCGCCGGGACCGAGGGATGGACGCGGCCGCCCCCGCCCATCCATCACCCGCCGTACCTTGGTATTTCGCGTCGATCTCCCGCATCAGCGAGACGTTCCTCTGCAGGTCGAAAGGCAGGGACTCGATGGAGTCCAGGTAATCCTCCACATAGTTCACCAGGTGGATCTGCTCCCCGTTGGCAGGACTCAACATGGTTCACCCCGGAGGTCCCCGGCGACTCGGCGGCTTTCCGCTTCCTCCACCCCCCGCCCCCCTCAAACAGCACTGCAAAATGCAAAGCGCTCGCCCTCCCGCGCCCCCCCGCCGTTTCGGCCCGGCCAGCCGGTGGCTACATCTGCCGCCCTCCGCGCTACCTCCGGGTCCGCGGGGACCCCGGCGCCTGCGGGCGCGGGCCGCGGCTCTCTGCTCACAGCCCGCCGGCTGTGCAGGCCCCCTCTCGGGCGGCGGGCGGCGCGGGGGGGCGCGCGGACGAGCGCGCACACACCCGAAGAGGGCTGGGCGCCCAGGCCGCCGCCGCCCACCCGCCACCGACTTGGAGAGAGGAGGGAGAAGGGCAGACAGCGGGAAGGGCGCGCTCCGCCGCCCGCCGCGCCGCACTTGTCCAACGTGGAAAACCCAAATACCAGTTTCAAACACTTGGGAAACATTCAGCCCCGCGCACACCGCGCATGCGCTTCGCCACCCCCCCTCCCGGCGGCGGCCCCGCCCCCACCGCATTCACGCCCCTCACCGTCCCGGGCCGAGGGGCCGGGAGGCCGGCCGTGCGGGGGCGTGGCCTGTCACTGTCGCTGGGGGCCAGGGTCGCGTAGGGGACAGCGGCGAGGCTGCCGGGGTAGGCGAGCAGCCAGGCGAAACTTTTACTAGGAGTTTGGCACTCGGTGGCCGACCTACTGGGCGGAGCCTCACGCCGGCCGGGACACGCGGGGTGGCGGCCTGCTCTTCTGGAAAGAGACGCCCGGCCCGGACTAGCCTCCACCGCCGGCCTCGAAGACCAGGAAGCGATGAGAGCTACGGTCCTCCAGCCTTACTCCGCGTCTCCGCCTCGCGGCGTAGTATAAATATGGCCCCGAACAGAACTGGCAACCGCGGCAGCCAATCGTATCGTAGCCCTTACCTCTATGGCCAATTCGGTTGATGCGAAGGTGTGGCGGGGCCGAGTAGCTCCGCCCACACTTCTAGTACTCGACAGTTTTTGTCCAGGAGGCGGGCTGAGGGGCAGGTCCAGTCGAGGCGGAAGTGGGCGCGCATGCACAAATGGCTGGCGGCTATGCGGACCAGCGCCGCGGGAGAAGCTCTACCGAAGCGCAACGGGACCACCACTCCCAGCAGCCTCGGCGGCTCCCGCGCCTGCGCCAATAGCCCCCGCCTTCCCTTTGTGTCGCCTCCCGCAGCTCAGTTTGGAATGGCCTGGAGACAAAGGGGCCCGGGAGGGAAGGTCTCTTCAGGGCCGAATGCCTGAGGCGGGTGGGCTGATGAGAGCGACGCCTCCTCTGGCCTCAACGCTTCCCTTCCCGCGCCCCGAAGGCGCGCTCCCGGACCCTCCACACGGTGGAGGCTGCCTGCATCCGAGCAGGCACCCTCCGGGGTAGCGCAGCCCTTGCCGCCCCGAGCCCACCCCTCCCCCCACGGCTCCGGAACTTAAGAGTGTTCTGAAAAGCCGGGCAGAGCGAGCAGTTGCCATAGCGACGGGGCTTCCAAAGCCCCGCCCCCTTCCGGCTCGGGACACGCCCCGGGGGAGAGCCAGGCCTGCGGCCCTATTCCTGGAGCCTTTGTCAAGCTGGTCAGGCCGCAGTCCAGCCCAGCCCTGCAGCTGTCGCAGAGTGTCGGTTCGCGGGTCTCGCCTGACTGCAGGCTCTGGACTCCCGGCCCTGCGTCTTGTCTCGGGTTGGTCCCTCCTCCTGGTAGCTGTGCAGACTCCGTGCTGTGGGCGCTGGCTGCCGACAGTCTTGCAGAGCCTGACAGGTTTCGTTGCGTGATGAGTACTGAGGACCGCGCCTAGCCCCAGCCTCGCCTGCCTGCCCGGACGTCGCCGCGGCGCCGGGCCAGCTCTCCATCTTCCTAGGAGGCCTCGTGTTTGGATGGTGTCGGATTTCAGCCTGAGTCTCCCGGGTTCATCCTGCTGCAGAACAGGACGTGCCACTTCAGACCTAAGGATGCACTTTAAATGGCTCACGTTCCGGAGTTAGGATTTGGAACGGCTTCTGAAGCACGGTGACATCAGAACCCCTCGGAATATTTCAGAATACTCCTTGTAATCCAGTAATGTCTCGGGCTAATCCAACGCAGTGTATATAAAATAGAATATTCGCACAGGGGGTGCTCATTGCAGCGATGGATGGGGACCTTTCTGATTGACTGTGCAGCAAGGGACACTGAATTCAGCTGTTTTGTCCTTCGATTTAGACCGTCGGATTGGGACGTTGGTATGCGACTAAAGGAGAGCACTGTCTACGCTTGAAGTACCGGACTTGTTTCACACAGCTGCAGAACGTCCGTGCTGTTATCTGGTGAAAGGTGGTTTTTACGAACAGTCAACTGCTTCCAGTCCCTATAGCCGCCACTGGTCTGCACAAAAGACTGCAGCGGTGGGACCCAAGAAACATTACGAGGAATATAGACAGGAATACAGAATTGAACACGAAAATTAGGCCTTTCCCCCAAAGATCATACAAATAGTTTAAAGTCATAATAACATTTAACAAATTAAGACAGGTTCTTTTAATCCCAGCATTCGTTAGACCAGGAATGAACAGTGTTTATCTGGATTTAAGAATTAGCCTGGCGTGGTGGTGCGCGGGCCTTCCATTTCAGCACTTGGGAAGCAGAAACAGGCAGATCTCTGAATTTGAGGCCAGTCTGGGCTACAGAGCGAGTTCCAGGCTAGCCAGGGCTACATAGACCCTGTCTCAAAAAAAAAAAAAAAAAAAAAAAGTTAAAAGGAAAACATTTACCATTTCTAATAATAAGCTGGAATTTAACCCAGGTTATCATTCAAAGAATCACAATACTATCTGAATAAACATTTTGTCCCTCTGGTTCATGGAGTTCACAAACCAAAAAGGCATCTTGCTCAAACAACTAGAAATACTTGACCAGTGCCTAACACTGCCAATTACAATATTTTATGTGTTGGGGATAGAGTATTGAGTATGCGTACCTTACCCTTGGGGTAGAAATGTGTTTTTGTTTTTGTTTTTTTTGTTTTATTGGTTTTCCAAAGTGGCTTTCTGAACAAGCTTGAAAACCAATAAAGGGCTGGAGAGATGGCTCAGCAGTTAAGTGCATACTGCTCTTGCAGAGGACCAGTTTGATTCCCAGTGTCCATGTGGCAGCTCTTAACTGCCTGTAACTCCAGCCCAGGGGATCTGATGGTCTCTTCTGAACTTCCTGGGCACCTGCAGTTAGACATGCACACACAGATACAATCAAATGTTTTTTTAAAAAGACCAATAGAGAAAACATAATTAACTATAAATCGAATATTTTAAATATGCCATACAGGAAGGATTTGGGAGCTGGAGAGATGGCTTGGTTTGTAAAACACAGCATGAGAACCTAGGTTCAGATCCCCAGCACCCTCATAAAAACAAAAAGAGAGTGTGGTGGTGCTCACCTGTGATCCCACTACTCGGAAGGTGGAAACAGGATGATCCCTGGGGCTCACTAGGTCAGCCAGTCTAATTGAATTGGTGAGGTCCAGGTTCAGTGAGAGACCCTCTCTCAAAAACAGAGCAATTGAAGACCTCTGGCCTCCACATGCACGTGCATCTTTACACACAAGCATACATAAACTAAAAAAAAGTGAGTGTGGGATCTGGGGAGATGGCCCAGTGGATAGACTTGCTATTTGAGTGTGGAAATCTGAACGTGGAGCCCCAGAACTCACCTAAAGCTGGATGGGTAGTTCGTGTGTCTGATCCCAATATTCTAACATCAAGGTGGGAGGTAGAGACAGGAGAACCCTCATAAGCTGGAGAGCAACAGAGCCTACCTTGAGGTAGAAAGAACTGACACCCATGACTGTCCTCTGACGTCAGCCTGTGCTCATACATATGAACATGCGCAAGTGCACACAAACACACATGCAGATTTTGACAATACACTGAAGAATCATAACCATTAGATGTTAAAATTGTTTCTTTTTTAAAAATATTCTATTTTTATGTGTATGAGTGTATTGCCTTCATGTATGTAAGTGTGCCTGTGTCATGTAATGTCCCAGGAGGTCAGAAGAGGGTGTCGTATTCCCCTGGAACTGGAGTTATGGTCAGTTGGTGTCTTCTGCAAGAGCAACCAGTGCTCTTAACCACTGAACCATCTCTCCAGCCCCCAAAATGGTTTCTTTAAAAAAAAAAATTGAATTTATTTTTATGTGTATGAGTGTTTTGTCTGCATGTATGTTGAGATCAAAAGAAGGCCTCAGATTTTCAGGAACTAAAATAACAGGATTTATGAATGGTGGTTAGCTGCCATGTGGGTGCTGAGAACCAGATACCCACTGGTCCTCTTCAAGAGCATGCAGGGCTCCAAACGACTGAGCTATCTCTCCAGCCCCAAAAATTGTTTCTTAAAATTAGGTTTTAGTGGAGCATGATGGCACACACCTTTAATCCCAGCATTTGGGAATCAGAGACAGGTAAAGCTCTGTGAGTTCTAAGCCAGCCTGGTATACCTAGGGAGAGCCAGGGCAACCAGGACTGCATAACAAAGCTTTGTCTTAAAAAAAAAAGAAAAAAAGAAAAGAAAAAGGAAGGGAGAGAGAGGAGGTGAATATACAATTCTTTGTTGTGAAATGCTTAGGAAATAAACATTTATTCATTCATTTAAACTTGGAATGCCATGTAAGCAGGAGGCTACCCAACTCTATCCTTTGCATTTACAAAATCTTTCATTGAAAGAAAATACAATCCAAAGAACTACTGTTGTTGTAATTGGCATTCACTATCATCAAACACTGGCATCCATGGTATTTTGGAATCATTTATAAATTCACTTCCTTGTTTTGACAGATTATTAAGGAAGATGAGAGCCAGAGAGGTGGCTCAGTAGTAAAGATGGTGGCCACCAAGCCTAAGGACCTGCCCCAACATGGTACCAGCTCCCACAAATTGCTCCTTTGGCCTCCACATATGCACAGTGGCACACACATGCACACACATACACAAATAATTCATTTTTCATTTTATGTGTATGTATTGCCTGTGTGTATATAAACATACCCATGTCCTGCAATGCCTGCAGAGGTCAGAAGAGGGCATCAGATCCTGTGGAACTGGAGTTAAGGATGGTTGTTAGCCATCATGTAGGTGCTGGGAACTGAATCCCAGTCTGCTGCAAGAGCAGCCAGTGCTCTTAACTGCTGAGCCATCTCTCCAGCCCCAATAAATACGATTTTTTAAAAAGTCCTTGAAACCTCTTCCTGTAAAGCAGAGACTGGGGAAGAAGTGAAGACCAGCCCAGAGAGGAGATCCACACAAAACAGAGATGCAGACTAGGCCTGAGAGGCTCCTTGCAGTTTCTGAAGATTGGAGGTGTTCCCTGGGGCTCCTGGGACATAGAACATCATCGTGCTTAATGTCTGTTTCTTTCCTCCTATCAGCTAGCCTGAGCTTGCTTCCATTACCAGCCCAAGTCTGCAGATGCATGCAGTATGTTTGATGTGGCAAGCAACACATCTGAGATTGGCAACATGGCTCAGTGGGTATAGGTGATTGCTACCAAGCCTGACAACCTGAGATTGATTCCCAGGATCCACATGATGGTAGAGGAGAAACAACTCCAGGTGATGTTCCCACCTCCACAAATGTGCTATACCAGACAGACAGACACACACACACACACACACACACACACACACACGCACATACACACAAGGAAGCACACACATTGATGTAATTAAAAATTCTATTTTGAGCCAGGCATGGTTCATGCTTTTAGTCTCAGTACTTAGAAGGTAGAGGCAGGCAGAGCTCTGAGAGTTCAAAACCAGCCTGGTCTACATAGAAAGTTCCAGGGCAGTCAGGCCTACATAGTGAGTCCCTGTCTCAATAATAATTTGTTTTATTGTTGTTGTTGTCGTTTGAGACAGGACCTTCCTACAGCCCCAGCTGGCTTGGAACTGGCTATATGGACCAGGCTGGACTTGATCTCACAGTGATCCACCTGCCTCTGTCTCCCCAGTGCCAGAATTAAAGGCATGCACCAACACGCTCGGGAATAATTTTTTTAAAGAAAGGATGCTATCTGAAAGGAACATATGAGAATATGTTTTGAGTCTTCCCAGTTTCTTTTACTTTACCTTAATCAATGTGTAAAACTTCAATACCCAAGATCAGCAGAAAGTGGGGCTTGTTTATCATTGTGTTCTTTGTTGTGTTTTGAAACAGGTTATCACTGTACTGGAGGCTAGACTGGAGCTTACACAGCCCAGGCTGGTCTCAAACTCCTTGAGATCAGATCCTCAGCCTCAGCCTCAGCCTCCTGAGTGCTCTAATTAGAGGTGTAAGCCACCACATCCAATATCGGTTTGGTGATTGTCAAAGCCCTAAGAAAGCAGACTTGCTGCCAGTCAAGGTTGAACACATTACAAGCATAGTTTCCTGCAGACTGGAGACATCATTGTTCATTTACAAGTCATGATTTTCAGTGGTTAATCCAAACATGCCAGCTATCCATATTCATGGAAAGGTTTGGCTTTCAATCCTCCTAAATTTCATTTGTTTTTTAATGTCTACTCTAGAGGCCTGAGATACAGCTTAGCAGTTAAGAGCACTGGCTTTTCTTGCAGAGGACTCAGGTTCAGTTCCCAGCACCCTTACTCATAACATCTGTAACTCCAGTTCCAGAGGATCTGACAACCCTCTTCTGGCCACCATGTCATTGTACACATGTGGTGCACTTAAATGCAAGCAAAACATTCATACAACGTAAAATCAAAATAAACCACAAAGAGCTTTAAATGTCTCGCTCTTCCTTTGAATTCTGCATATCCTCACAGACTACAGCCCGCTTTTTTGTTTCTGTTTCACTATGAGCATATCTCATATCAAAAACACAGCTTTCTCTTATCCTGTATTTTACAACCCAAACTCTGTCTCCTGCACAGAAAGTTTGTGAGGGGCTTTCTCAACACAAGATCTTTTCTGCATTTTGTGCAGGATACATTGAGGAAGTTAAAGAATTTACAGTCAAGAACTCAGGGAGGGAGAGGTATGTGGTGGCTCACACCTGTATTCCAAAATTTAGGAGCCTTAGGCAGGAGAAGTTCAAGGCCATTCAGGCTTACACAGAGCCTGAGGTTCTGAGTGAGATCTTAGCTCAAAACAACTGCCAGGCATGGGGGTGCAGCATTCAGGAGGCAGAGGCAGGCAGATCTCTGTGCGTTTAAGACCAGCCTGGTATAGTGAGTTACAGGCCAGCTGGGGCTACAGGGAGACTGTCTCAAACACAAACAAAGAAACAAAAAACCCAAGAGACTGTTTACACACGTACACACGTACATACATAACACCACATAAACACACATGCACATACACATATATACATACATGTATATGCAATTACAAAATAACATGAAGTACCACAGTGGTGGCTGTGAGGAAGCATAATATCCACAAAGAACCTAAGATGTAGGTCACCATAATATTGTGTAGAGCATAATTTGCAGTTTAGCCTGAAGCAGAATTGCAGCTAGAGTCAAGAATGTTCAGAAAAAGGTACTCTAGGAACACTTGTGTCTTCTTAATTATTTGCCTTTCAAGAGAACATCAAAAAAGATTGAAAACCAAAACACCAAAAAAAAAAAGGGCTTTTAGGAACACTTTTGTTTTCTTAATTATTTTCCTTTAAAAAAAAAACAAAAAAAAATTAAAAACAAAAAACCCAAAAAAAAAAAAAAAAAAAGAAATGAGGAAGCTGCATGTTGGCTGAAAAACCAAAGGGGATTTTTTTAAAACAGACTTTTGCAAAATACCAATGAGGTGTGTTCATGGAGATCATTTGAATGTAGCTCAGAACAGTTCTCAGGAGATGGAGGGTAGAACTTTACATCTTTTTTGGTTTTGTTTTAAGGTAGGGTCTCATGTAGCAGAGTGTGGTCTTGAACTCCTGATGCTCCTGCCTCCACCTCCCCAGAGCTGAGATTAGAAGAGGAAGTTACCGACACTTAGGTTCTAAAATTTTCTAGAAAAATATTTAATTATTTTTATTTTATGCATGTATGTGAGTGCACCTGTGTTGTGCAGTGCCACAGAGGTCAGAAGAGGGCTTCGGATTCCCCTGGGACTGGAGTTAAGGACGGTTTGTAGCTGCCATGTGGGTGCTGGGACTCGAACCCTGGTCCTCTGCAAGAGCAGTCAGTGCTCTTAACCGCTGAGCCATCCCTCCATCCCTGGTTCTAAAGTTTTTAATCTTAAAATTTTTTAAACTGATTTTTATTTTATGTGTATGAGTGCCTTGTCTGCATGTACCACAGGTATGCAATGCTTACCGAGGCCGAAAGAGGGCGTCTGATCCCCTGAAACTGGAGTTACGGTTGGTTGGTAGCCATCCTGTGCCTGCTGTGAATTGAACCCAGGTCCTCTGCAAGAGCAGCCAGTGCTCTTAATTACTGATCCATCTTCCCAGCCCTAAAATTTTTAATCTTAAAATGAGTCCCAAGCAGATATTTCCTAGCGTTGGTCCTTTATCCTGAGCTCCCAGGACACTGTGAAATACAGAGGCACCATGCTTGTTGGGGTGCAGACCTGTGCATGTTGGGGTGCCTTGTTGATACACTTATGCGGAGTGTAGCAAGACACACATGTTGGGCGTGTTTCTGTTAGCAGTGTTTGTAGTGAAGACGTGATAAGTGCACGTTGGGGTGCATAATGTAAGCTGGGTCCACAGTATTGTCTGCGCATGCTGGGGTGCAGTTGTGCAGTGTATTGGAGTGCTTTTTTTTTTTTTTTTTTTGAGACAGTGTCTCCCTGTAGCCCCAAGCTGTCCTGGAACTCACTATGTAGACCAGCCTGGCCTTGAATTCACAGAGATCCACCTGCCTCTGCCTCCCGAGTGCTGGGATTAAAGGCGTGAGCCACCACGCCCGGCTGGAGTGCATTTTTGAGATACACATATCCTGTGATATACGGGGTACACACTGTTCGGTGGTACAGATCAGGTTACAGCCACGGGGTTCTTCCCCTCGCTGCTACCGCGGTCAACACCCGCACCAGGTGTCTCCAAAGACTCCCCGACACGACCTGCAATAATAAGAATAAGGGAGCGCAGGCCACGCTTCTCTCTGCCACCTCCCAGCCCCACTAGGGCCGCTGGTTTAACCTTCCTCAGCCTGGCCAGGCGCCTGCGGCTGGAATGCTACAGCCGCACGCTAGCCAGCCTTTGGAGGAGCCTCTTCCGGAAGTGGGCGGGATAGGGCGTGGCCTAAACAATGGGGCGGGGCCTCGATTGCAGGGGTGGGGTCTTCCTGGGTGGGGTCTGGGGGAGGGACGGGCCCTTTGTGGGCGGGGCTTGACCTGCTGTCCCAGCACCCGGCGCTTTCACTCCGTTCCGCTGCTGACATGCTGCGGACGCGCGGGCTCAGGCCTGGCGCTCAGCTGTTCCTGGTCGCGCTGGGCCTTGGGTGGCGCGGGCCGGCAGGTCGAACGGCGTGCGCGGGGCGTGGGCGTGACTGGCAGCAGCCGGAGGGCCAGGACACGGGCGTGCGGGTGCACAACAGCCTTACGGGCAGGAAGGACCCGCTGATCGTGGCCCGCGCGGACGCAGTCTCCTGGTGCGTGCGCAGGGCGGAGCTGGAAGACTTGCGCCCGGGTGTACTGGTGCTGGCTCTGGGCAGTCGCCTTGGAGCATGTGCACCGGACGCGTGCACTGGGGCTTCACTACTGTGGGGTGTTGGAGCAAATCAGTCCTGGAACCGCGACGTGGAGTACCTAAAAAGTGTGTGTGTGTTTGTGTGTGTGTGTGTGTGTGTGTGTGTGTGTGTGTGTTTGTGTGTGATGGTAGTGAGAATTTAGGGCCCTTTCTTGCAGATGTGTCATGTGGTGGATCTTCATATATTCCCAGGTACAGCTGTGGACCAACTGTGTACGACCATGCACACCTTGGCCATGCCTGGTGAGTTTCCTGAATTTGAACTTTGACGCCTCAAGGGGTCATTTTGGAAAGGGTTAAGTGTTCCCTTGTTCTGAAATGTACTGAGTAATTACTACCTTCTGGGAAGTGTGAGAAAGACAGTTGGTCTCACTTGGTCTTTGAAGCTGTTCTGAGCTCTTGTACCCATTGCGCAGGTCAGGACTCTGAGGGAGGTAGTGTGGAACAGTGGGAATTAGATGTTTGTGAGGCTGATCCAGGGAACAGAATCAACTGTATGGTTCCTAGTATTCCTTAGCTCCTTGGCCTTGTACAATCACTTTCTTGCTGGAGTCCTGAATCTTTTTCTTGAAGACTCCATGACAATAGCCCAGGGTTTGGAATCTTCATGGCAGTTTCAGGAAGTGCTGTCTATAAGTACTCTTAGGCACAGCACCAGACTTGTGACGTGTTGCTAGTCCTTAACCATTACTGAGGGTGGTAACTTGCTGTGTAGACCAGGGTGGTCACAGTCTCACAGAGATTCACCTGCCTCTGTCTCTCAAGTGCTGGAATTAAAGGTGCACACCACCATGCCTGGCATAAATAAGATAATTTTTAAATTAAAAGTAAATGAATCAAGGTGATGATTTTGTGCATCAAAGACAGCTCAACACTTTTTGTTTTCCTTTCAGCTCATACGTTAGATTTGATATCATCCGAAGGATTCTGACCAAGGTGTTTGGATGCAATGTGGTCATGGCGATGAGCATCACAGATGTGGATGATAAAATAATCAAAAGAGCTAATGAGGTAGGCATAGATGCTTTACTTTGATTGGTGACCCGATGGCTAAGTGGCTTCACTGATTTGTATTTTCCTAGTAGACATAATGCTTATGTAGCCCAGTGAGAGCAACTCCTTACGGAGACACCAGCAGGTTATCAATATTTTCCCTGTATAGGAATAAGTGGATGGAATTGTGGGGATGCAGCCCTCTCTGGTGGTGTCCCCTCTTTTGACCCGTCTGGGGTCCTCCTCTGTTAGAAGTACCTTGCTCCGTTCTCTACCAAGGCGTTGGGCCCCAGGCTCTGGACCTTGGACACCTCTGTACTTCTGCTCTGACGCCTCTTGTTTCCATGTTTCTTTTTCTGTTTTATTGTTAGACAGAGTCTCACTTTGTAACCCAGGTTTATCTCTAGATCCTCCTGTCTCAGCTTCCCAAATGCTGCAGTCTGTTTCTTGATCACCAGGAAGTGAAGTTTATTCTGTCACCATTTCAGTCTGGGAACCTGGGTTCTGTTCCCAGCACCCATATGGCAGACAGCTTACAACCATCTGTAACTCGCGTTCCAGGGAATCTGACAGTCTCTCCTGGCCTCTGCAGGCATTGCACACGTGGGTGCACTTATATTCATGCAGGTAGAACACTCATATACATTCTTTTTTTAATTTTTAAAATGATTTAACATTTAAAATTTTTTTATTTTCATTTTAAAAATTTATGTGTGTTTTTTGCCTCCATGTAAGTGCACCATGCACATGCAATACCCTTGGAGGTTAGAAGGCATTGGGAATTACCTGGAACTGGAGTTATAGATGGTTATTAGCCACCATGTAGGTGTTGGGAACCAAACCTGAGTCCTCTGCTAGAACAGGCTGTGTTCTTAACCACTGAGCTGTCCTTCCAGCCTCTTTCTTCGTCAGTTTTGCTACTGTTATAGATTATAGTTGTCCTTTCTCAGCCTCAGTTTCTCTTTCCAAAGTGTCATTTGAGGTAAAAAATATGAAGGAGAAAATTCCAGAAACAAGTAATTTCTACAGTTTTAGTTGCATGCTGTTCTGAGCAGTGATGGTGTGTTGCTGTGTCCACCTAGGATGTGAATCCTCACTCTGCTCTGGCTGTGCACGTGGTGTGTGCTGTCTGAGCATCGTTCAGTTAGGCAAGGGCCAGGTTCTCAGACCCACTATCACAGTGTTGCTGCTGGTATCTTGTGTGGCCTCAAGCCCCCAGAGTGATAATGTTGATATTTACACGTGCCAGAGAAGCTGTGGTAGTTGTTATGTTGTTGTTATTACATTTATTTGTTGTGTATGTGTGTATGTGCATAGGCACATGCATAATACAGTGTGTATATGGAGGTCACAGGACAGTGTGTCGGACTCGATTGTCTCCTTCTACTATGTGGGTCCCAGGGATCTGAACTCAGGCATCAGGCTTTGGTGGCAAGTGCCTGTACCCTTTGAGGCATCTTGCTGGTCCTATTTTTACTTACATTTTTTTGCTTTGCTGGGGATTGTATCCAAGGACTTGCATATTAAAAGTGAGCAAGCGCTCTACTACTGAGCTACACCCTAGTCTCATTTCTTGTATTTTATCATCAATTATTGTTATCTCTTTGTGCCTAGTTTAGAAATGAGTTTATCATAGGTATGTATTGGTACACAGGACTCAGTACTCTGTGGTTTCAGACATCCACAGTGATCTTAAGTATATCTTCCAGCATTTTTCCTCAGGATAGTGTCTTACTTCAATATAATAAATCATGTATCTAAAACTGTAGTCGTGGGCTGGAAAGATGGCTAAGTAGTTAACACTTCTTGATCTTGTGGAGGACCTGAGTTCTGTTCCCAGCACCCACATCAGGCTGACAACTGCCTGTACCTCTAGCTCTAGGGGATCTGACACCCTCTTCTGGCCATGTGGGTACCTGTACATACCTCTGCACAGATATACATGCATATACATAATTTAAAAATATGAATAAGGGACTGGAGAGATGGCTCAGTGGTTAAGAGCACTGTGTTTGCAGAGGACCTAGGTTTGATCCCTAGCACCAAATGGTGACTTACAACCATTTGTAACTCCAGTACTAGGGGATCTAATGCCCTCTTCTGACCTCCGTTGGCATTGTACACTATGGTGCTCTTACACACATGGAGGCAGTACACTCTTATTACATAAAATAAAAAATAATAAAATATTAAAAAATAAGAATAAATCTTAGAAAAACACAGTTATAGTTATAAAAACATCTAATTCAGTATTTAGCAAAAAGACTAGTTTTTTAATTTTTATTTTTACTAATGTTTAGCTATGGTCTCGTGCTTCCCAATCTGGCCTTGACCTTGCCATGTAACCAAGGATGACTTGGAACTTTTTTGTGTGTTTGTTTGCGTGCCTATGTGTGCAAAAGCCAGAAGGCAACTTTGGGTGTTGTCCTTGGCTCTGTTCCCCCCCCCCTTTTTTTCTTTTTGTCTTTTTGAGACAGGGTCTCCCTGTAGCCCCAGCTGTCCTGGAACTCACTATGTAGACCAGGCTGGCCTTGAACTCACAGAGATCTGCCTGCCTCTGCCTCCTGAGTGCTGGGATTAAAGGCATGCGCCACCATACCCGGCTGTCCCCCCCTTTTTTAATGAAACAGAATCTCGCATTGGCCTGGAACTCACCAACTGTTCCAGCCTGGCTCACCAGGGGGCCCCAGGGATCCACCTGTTCCTGCTTCCCCAGCACTGAGATTACAAACAATTATTACCATGCCCAACTTTTCTATGTTGGTTCTGGGTGTCAAACTCGGTCCTCAGGCAAGTACTTTTCTCACTGAGGTATCTCCCCAGCCCTGAGCTTGAACTCCAGACCTTCCTGCTTCGACCTCTTCAGTGCTGGGGTTACAAGTATGCACCATTACACTTAATTTTTTCAGTGCTGAGGTTGGAACCCAGGGCTCTGTAAATGCTAGGCAAGTACTCTGCCAGCTAAGCTCCATCCCTAGCCCCTTTTACCATTTTTAGTGGCGTAAAATAAAGTTTGCTGTCTTACCAATTGTTTGGGGGGGCGGCATTCTTTTTTGAGACAGGGTCTCCCAGTCGCCTCAGCTGGCCTGGAACTCATTATGTAGACCAGGCTGGCCTTGAACTCATGGATTCTGCCTGCCTCTGCCTCCCAAGTGCTGGGATTAAAGGCTTGCGCCACCATGCCTGGCTTATTTATTATTTTTATTTTTGTGTATATAAGTGTATTGCCTGCTTGTGTGTGAGTACACCCATGTCATGGAATGCCTGCAGAGATCAGAAGAGGGTGTCAGATCCCCTGGAACTAGAGTTATGGATGGTTGTTAGCTGCCATGTGGGTGCTGGGAATCGAACCCAGGTCCTCTGCAAGAGCAGCCAGAGCTCTTAACCGCTGAGCCATCTCTCCAGCCCCCTCTTTTTCATGCTGAGTAATACTCCTTTGCATGGATGGACTACATTTTCTGCCTTCTAGCTGTTGACATCTGGGTTGATTCTAATGCAAGTTCTTTAAGGAGGGCTGAGATTTTTGCATGCTATCTACTATAAGACTTGCATTTAAAGTACTTTAGATCACAACATTACACCTTTCTGAATTGTTCCCTTGACTTTGTCTTTTTGAGACAGGGTCTCCCTGTAGCCCCAGCTGTCCTGGAATTCACTGTGTAGACCAGGCTTTGTTCAAGACCAGGCCTTGAACTCACAGAGATCTGCCTGCCTCTGCCTCCCGAGTGCTGGGATTAAAGGCATGCGCCACCATGCCTGGCTTTGACTTTAATTTTTAAAAATTTTTATTTATTTTTATTTTATGTGTATGAGTATTTTTGCCTGCATGTATATGTGCACCAGTGCATGCAGTGCCTAGGGGGGCCAGAAGAGGGTGTCAGATCCCCTGGAACTGGAGTTATAGACGTAGCCACCATAGGGATGCTGGGAACTGAACCCAGGTCCTCTGCAACCAGTGCTTTTAACCGCTGAGCCATCTCTTCAGCCCCATTGACTTTAATTTTTGACACAGTTTTCTAGTTTGCCAGGGATAAAAGCCACAGATTTGAACAGGACTGGGGTAAGAATTTTGACAGGTCTGATATATTTGTATGTCATTTTATCTTTAAAAAAATCAGCCAGGCATGGTGGCACACACCTTTACTCCCAGCAGTTGGGAGGCAGAGGCAGGCGGATCTCTGTGAGTTCAAGGCCAGCCTAGTCTACATAGCGAGTTCCAGGTCAGCTGGGGCTACATGTAGACCCTGTCTCAAAAAGATCAACAACAACAACAACAACAAAAATCATACTCTGTTCAGTGATTCAAGCCAGAATCACGGAAGCAAATACTGGACTCCTTTAAAGACTTGCATTGTATATTGTGTGTGATGGTGGGTGAGAACAGCTCTTTCCTCGTGTACCATGTGACCAACTGCAGAGGAATTTAATTCAACTCTAACTTTCAAAGAATATTGAGGATAGAGTAGCCCTACCAGATGTTAAGACATGCCTGAAAAGCTATAGAAAAAATTTTATGTTTATACATAAAAGACATATGCATGCTATTTCTGTGTGTGTGTGTGTGTGTGTGTGTGTGTGTGTATGTATGTATGCTTGCTTCCGCTGGACTGTACATGACCATTCCCTTAGAATCAGAACAGCTGTGCTCGCCTGCATGAGACCCTCACAAGATCTATCCTACTAACATTCTCTCTTGGGGGGACAGGGGAGGCCCCCAAGTCTTATGAGAGCCTCTCCCTGCGGGGGGTTCAAACCAGCGACCCCCATGCAGTGATGATTGGGGATGAGTAAGCACGCCATTCGCCAGCCCATGCCACCCCCAGTACCGGGAACACTCAGGCGCAACGAGGAGCCTAGTCAAGCAGGGACTCATTTATTGCAGGTGTTACAGAGTTTATAAAGGCATCTGGAAATACCCCTCCCCCCTGAGGGTTTGTCTTAAGGATGGTCACCGGCTGATCATGCACTCCTCAGCAGTGCGGAAGTATCCGTCAGACTTTCAAAACAAGTCAGGCTGTGCCGGGTAACTTCCTCTTGGACCCCTGCAAGGCGGGGCCTTTAGGTCCCCACATCTCCCGATGCCTCTCCTCTCCCTGAGATTATGAAACAGGTGAACAGTTGGCTGGGATGGCATTCCTTGGTGGTGTAGCTAACAGTAAGTTATGTAGCAGGTTTCACAGTTGCATAGCTGAGTCACCCATGCTCCTGTAAGGAGCCCCAATAAACTCATTAGTTCACCAAGATGGACTTAGATAGAGTCTTTCCTTTGGTCTGTTGATGCCTGCTCTGTGCCTCTTTACATCTCCCCAGAGAGTTTCACAGCACCACAGATGTGTGTCTCTGTGTGTGTATATCTGTGTGTGTGTGTATATATACATCTGTGTATGTATGTGTGTGTTTGTATATGTGTGTGCCTCTGTATGTGTGCATATGTGTGTATGCCCATGTTTATGTGTTTGTGTCTATGTATGACTATATTTTTGAATGAGTTTATTGTGGAAGAACTGATGTACAGTAGGTTGAATGTGTTGTTTCCAAGGCGCATAGCTCGATGGGAATTAAAGTGGTTGTACTATCTCCCCAAAGTATCCTCTGTCCCTTCCTCCGTCCTCTCTCTGCCCATTTCCACTTCCCATTTCCAGATAACCCCTATCTGCCTTCTGTCCCTGTGAAAACTGTAGCAGATAATCATTCATAAGGGAGCATGAATAAACAAATAATGGAAAATACTAGGGAGTCCAAAAATAGACATACAGTTAATGGGAATTTGTTTTGTGATAAAAGATGGCATTTGAAGTCATTGGGATGGGAGTTGAATTACTCAGTAAATAGTGTTGACAGTTGGGTAGCCATCTGGAGAAAACACAAACCCAAGTTGGACATGTGTCTCATAGCCAACTAAAGGCAGAGCAGGAGAGGAATGGAGCTATAGATTCCTAGCAGAAACCCCAGGATGCTTCTGTGGCTCCTGTGGAGGCCTTCTCAGTTTGTTTCCGTTCACAAAAGCCATTTATGGAAAGATTCAGAGATATAAAAGATTGTAAAATATAAGCAAAGTTTTTTTCTGTGCTATGCATAACCATGTTAGAAAGAAATTGGGATGAGTATTATAGTGCCAGCAAGATGGCTCAGCAGGTAAAAGCACTTGCTCACAAGCCTGAATTCTATCCCCGGATACCACAGTAGGAGACAACTGACTCCTGAAAGTTGTCCTCTGACCTCCACATGCATACTGTGTTATGTGCATGCTGTGGCACATACATACACATGGACACAAAAAGATCTTTAAGAAGAGATGCATATCAGATGTAAAGGTTAATTTTTTTCTAAATTTTTATCAGAAGATATAATTTACTGAATGAGAACTAATAGAGTGTTGGCTAGAGGGCTCAATGGATAAAGGGGCTTATCGCCAAGCCTGATGATCTGAGTTTGATCCCTGGGACCCATGTGGTGGAAGAGAGAACTGATTCCACAAAGCTGTCCCCTGACTTCCACAGGTATACCATTGCATGCATGTCTACACACATACACAGTAAATAAATACTAAAAATTAAAAAAGAGAACTAATGAAAGATGAGGGTCTGGCGAGATGGCTCCACTGTTAAAAGCACTGGATGCTCTTGTAGAGGACCCTGGTTTGGTTCCTAGCAACCACATGGCCTCTAACAACTATCTGTAACTCCAGTTGCAGGAGGCCATCTTCCTCTTTTGGCCTCCTTAGGCAAGGCATTCCACACATGGGTGTACTTACATGCACGCAAAACTCATACACATAAAATAAAAATAAATTTAAAAAAGAAAGATGAAAGATAAGATCAAAATAAGAATGAAACTCAATAGAAATGGTTAAATGTGTAGAAATGTGCAAAAACATGTAAACATGTTACATGTGCACAACATGTAAAAATACTTCCTACCAATCAGTAAGAGAAAGACCCACAACTCAACAGAAAATGGGGAGTTCCAGACCACTTAATAAAAAGGGTCTAGACATGAGAAGATTCTCTGACTCACTCAAAATAAGAAAGATAAAAATCACAGCAGAAGGCACTGAGGTGTTGTGTTGACAAGGTCTGGCAGTGTGCCCGTGTGCTGGGGAGGGTAGGGGAAGTGGCCTCTGGGGCAGCTGGTCAGGCATCAGTCAGTCACTTCTGCAGGAGGCAGTCTGGTGATGTCAGTACTGTGTACAGTTGCCATTTACATCTACTCAGAGGTGTCCTGGGAAAGGCTGGGTGTGCAGTGGTGTTTGCAATAGCTGAGGCAGGCATACACTAGGAAGGACAGGGAAGTGGGGCTCAGGTAGTCTGGCATAGCACATATCCCCTCAGTGCTGTGTCGTCTCTGGAATGCAACTGGAGGCAGAGCAGGGCATAGAATGTGCCCCCTCTGTGGAGTCAAGACAAAGACAAGGACCCTGCGCTCATGCTCACTAGACATAGCCATGCATGCCACATGCATGCTTGGATAACCAGTCAGCATTTCTGTAAGGGAAGTCGAGCTTGGGGCTGTTTAAGGTTGTTTGAATTCCTCTGGGCATGAATTGTCTTCAAAAAAATAAAATTAGAAATAGATAAAAGTAAATTGCGGGTCTTTTCATCCCAAATTGCACAGTATTTGAAACTTACAAGGTGGCAAAAAGATGCTGAATTCTCAGACTTTGGTTCTGGTCTCTGTTCCCTGGATAGACATGGTAACTGACTGCTGTTCTAAAAATTTGCTTTGTCCTTAGACTGTCCCTGGAGAAAGGGTGTGCACCTGTGCCAGGTGCTGTGAACTCCCTCTCATCACTGTGATATTGGCATGTTTTCTCTTTGTGGAACTGTCTCACCTCTACACACTGCATCTTCCCAGCAGTCTAAAGAGTTACTGGATGAACCAGAGGCTGAAGGTTCTGGCTTAGGGATGGGCCCAAGTCCACAGAGTTGGAAAGAGCTGGTGGCAGTTCCTGGGTCACCAGACATCTTCAGTCAATACCCTCTTGTTGTGGTTTCTGGGGTGACTGCTACTTTAAAGCAGTGGGCAGGAGGGTGGCCACCTGGCCCCCAACATGGCATTGAGAAGCTTGAAAAAACTTCTTAATTCTCCAGAGCAAAAACTTCTTTTTCTTTTTCTTTGTTTTGTTTTGGTTTTTTGAGCTAAGGTCTCCCTGTAGCTCCAGCTGACCTGAAACTATGTAGCCCAGGCTGGCCTCCAACTTAAGAGATTTGCCTTCCGAGTGCTGGGATATGAAAAGGAAACATTTCACGGGTGTATAAGTATGCTTGGCGCAGGACAGGTGACAGTTCACACAGAAAGTACTGCATAAATGCTAGCCAAGTGTCACATGTGGATTACTTGTTCCAGCACACAATAGGTGGTACATAAATGCTGAGTATAGGTGGATTTTGGATTCTTGTGCAAGGTGTTCGTGAAGTCTTGCATTTATTTTGAGATTTTTTTTAATTTATATTTTTTGGTCTTTTTGAGACAGGGTCTCCCTATAGCCCCAGCTGGCCTTGAACTCACAGAGTTCACCTGCCTCTGCCTCTCATGTGCTAGGATTAAAGGTGTGTGCCACCACCACACAGCCTTATTTATATTTATTTTATGTGTGTGTTTTGCCTGTATGTATGTGCACCATGTGTGTGCAGTTCCTGAGGAGGCCAGAAGAGGGCATTGGATTTCTCTCCTAGAGCTGAAATTACAGACTGTTCTTGCAGAAGATCCGGGTTTGAATCCCAGCACCCACATGGCAGCTAACAACTGTCCATAACTCCAGTTCCAGGGTATCTGACAAGCCTCTTCTGTCCTCTGCAGGCATTGCATGACACAGGTGCACTTACCTACACACAGGCATAACACTCATACACATAAAAATAAAATATTTTCAAAAAATATTTATTCTTTGATAATTTCATGCATATATAAATTAACTTGATCAAAACTATCCTAACACCCGCCCCCCCCCCCCCACCCCCCCATGCTCCTTCTATCTTCAGGTCCTTTTGTTCTTTTGTTTATAACCAACTGAGTGCTACCTGCAGGGGCATGGACAGCCTACCAGTGGCCACACTCCTGAAGAAAAATGACTTCCCCTCCCCGAAAGGCCATCAGTTGCCAATAGTTCCTCAGTTAAGGGTGGAGCCTCATGGCCCCTACCCCATCCTTGATGGAATAATTGCAAAGGCTTCTGAGTCAGAACTTTGTGTCTCTTCTGCTTGCGGTGGACTGTCTGCTGGAAAGACTGGCTTTGGATCCCACCTTCGCTGAGAATCCAACAGGCACCAAATACCCATGTCCCCAAATATACTGCTGTGGTGGCCTCCCACATCCTCAGGAGCCCAGCTCAAAGACCAGCCCCAGGACCATTAGTCCCTATCCCTGATTAGTGTGTTGTTATTTTTGAAGAGCTCTATAAGGCATTATAACCTTTTCTTCCTGCTGTAGATTAAGGGGTGAGATAGAACTCACACTGATTATTGTGTAGGGTAGATTGCTGATGCCCTCATTTTAGAAAGGGGAGGGACTTTTTTTTTTTTTTTTTAAAGAAAAGATACAGTAGAAATCAAAATACCTTTTGAGCTATTAGAGTATGTGTAACACCTAAAATCAATGCCCCTTCTGGAGGCTGAACCCCAGGGGGCACATGGCTACCATCCTTTCTCAGGGGTGGTTGGGAACGTGAGTCTGCTTTGGTGGGTCTGCGTGAGACCATCCAGGTATGCTAATGTGCTTGTCTGACTCTTCTGCAGATGAATGTGTCACCTGCTTCTCTCGCCAGTCTTTATGAGGAAGATTTTAAGCAGGACATGGCGGCCCTGAAGGTAAGGGGTTGACTCTTCTGTGACGGGCAGTGGTGGCTGACCAAGAACAACCCAATTCTAGTACCTGAGGACAGGCCCTGTGGTCTAAGTACAGCACAGAGATCTGGACTGTGGAGTGCACCCTACTGTGGACTTGGTGAACAGAGGGAGCCGGTCCAGACAGTGGACTTGGTGAATGGAGGGAGCTGGTCCAGACTGTGGACTTGGTGAATGGAGGGAGCTGGTCCAGACTGTGGACTTGGTGAATGGAGGGAGCTGGTCCAGACAGTGGACTTTGTGAATAGAGGGAGCCGGTCCAGACAGTGGACTTGGTGAATAGAGGGAGCTGGTCCAGACTGTGGACTTGGTGAATGGAGGGAGCTGGTCTAGACTGTGGACTTGGTGAATGGAGGGAGCTGGTCCAGACTGTGGACTTGGTGAATGGAGGGAGCTGGTCCAGACTGTGGACTTGGTGAATGGAGGGAGCTGGTCCAGACTGTGGACTTGGTGAATGGAGGGAGCTGGTCCAGACTGTGGACTTGGTGAATGGAGGGAGCTGGTCCAGACTGTGGACTTGGTGAATGGAGGGAGCTGGTCCAGACTGTGGACTTGGTGAATGGAGGGAGCTGGTCCAGACTGTGGACTTGGTGAATGGAGGGAGCTGGTCCAGACTGTGGACTTGGTGAATGGAGGGAGTTGGTCCAGACTGTGGACTTGGTGAATGGAGGGAGCTGGTCCAGACTGTGGACTTGGTGAATGGAGGGAGCTGGTCCAGATGAGCTGGGTCCCTGCAGTTTGTTCTGAAGGAGGGGACAGAGAGTAGGAGGAAGGGAGCAAAGGAAGGAAGGAGGGAGGGAAGGAAGAGACAAGGTGATTTACCTTTGCTAGACTGTCCCTGGTTTATCTTACACTTCTACAGATTGAGCCACGTTCCTGGCTGTCAAACTCCATGTTTCCCTTTGGTAGCCTTGTCTCTTGAGAATTTATTGGGAAACTGGGAAAAGCTGACTGGGTCACTGGGGCATCATGGTGGTTATGACTCAAGATGGCTGCCTCCTTGTTAAGCTGAGTCTGTGCACAACCCCTGTGAACTTGAAAACCACCTGTGGTTATGTCTCTGCTTCCTCCCAGGTTCTCCCGCCCACAGTGTACTTGAGAGTCACCGAAAATATCCCTCAGATTATTTCTTTTATCAAGGGCATCATGGCTCATGGTCATGCATATTCGACAGCCAAAGGTAGGGTTAATGCTGATACTGATCATTGGTTGACACTGGTATAACGCTTAGATGCAGGGCACACCTCAGTTAGAATGTTTTGGTGCTTTGTTGCTGTTGATGTGAGGTTCTTTGTTGTGCTGAGTCTGTAAAACTGTCCAGTTCATTAAAAAAATATTTTTGAAGTTACTTTTATTTATGTATATGTGTACATACCTGTATGAGTGAATGTCACATGTATGGATGTCTGTAGAGGCCAGAAGAGGATGTTGGGTCCCTTGGAGCTGCAGTTAGAGGCAATTATAAGCCACCCACAGTGGGTGCTGGGAACCAAATTCAGGTCCTCTGGAAGAGCAAGTGCTGTTAGCTGCTGAGCCATCTCTCCAACCCCTACTCTTTGTCCCCCTATTAGAAAGAATTGTCTCAACATTTTGCAAAGAACTCTTGTGTTTTCACTTTTACACCTGCTGTTCATGTTGCATCCAGAAAATGTGGTGGTGTTGTTTTAAATTATGGCTAGGCTGGGCATGGTGGCAGATGTCTTTAATCCCAGCACTTGGGAGGCAGAGGCAGGCGGATCTCTGTGAGTTCAAGGCCAGCCTGGTCTACATAGTGAGTTCCAGGCCAGCTTGGGCTACAGGGAAACCCTGTCTCAAAAAGACCAAAAAAAAAAGGGGGCGGGGGGGGGCTAGATGGCAGCCAAGCACCATCTTCTGTGTTGAACTTGTAACTGTTGGACATTAGTTAGGCTTGCACACATGCGGCTGCTGTTGGGCAAGGTTGAACTCATGCTGTCTGTGTGAACAGGCAGTGTCTACTTCGATCTGCGCTCAAGAGGGGACAAGTATGGTAAACTCGTCAATGTGACGCCCGGTGCGACTGGAGAACCAGGTGGGTGACTGAGTGTCCCTGTGAGCCTGAACTTCTGAGTGTGGGTTCTGGAGCTTGGGGAATCTTGGGCCCACTGGGGGACCTTAACCCTCCTCTGATTATATGCTATAGAGTTGAAAAATTTCTTCGAATAGATGAACTAGCAGAGGACAGAGTATGAACAGAAGCCCAGCATCCTGTGCCTTCCCCCTGTACCCCACTCTGCCTCCAGCTGTGCTTCCCTCTTCTGCCTCCTTCTGGGGTTTTCTTTGGTAGAAAATATACATGCATGTCAGTATAACCCTCTTCTAATGGTTGCTGTTATACGCTAAATTCCCAGCATATGTCAATCTGTTCTTGTGCTCCAACAAGTTTTTAGGTCAAAATTACTTTTTTTTTGGTCTTTTTGAGACAGGGTCACCCCGTAGCCCCAGCTGTCCTGGAACTGACTATGTAGACCAGGCTGGCCTTGAACTCACAGAGATCCGCCTGCTTCTGCCTCCCGAGTGCTGGGATTAAAGGAGTGTGCCACCATGCCTAGCCAAAATTACTTTTATGGAGAAGAAAGAATATATAGAACTGAACTTAAATTTCTATTTCTTTTTTTATTTGTTTGTGTTTTTTGAGACAGGGTCTCCCTATAACCCCAGCTAGCCTGGAACTCACTATGTGGACCAGGCCAGCCTTGAACTCACAGAGATCCACCTACCTCTGCTTCCTGAGTGATAACTCTAATTTTTGATAGCACTGTTTTCTTAGCTCTCAGAAATGGTATTTGTTACTTTTCCCCAATCAATAGCCTTCTGTGCTCCCCTCCCTAACAAGGGCCAGAACAGAACATTCTGGGCCATCCTCACTTGTAAGCTGTCGCTCAAGGCAGGCATTGGGTTGTGCCTTCCAAATGGAGGAGGGCTTCAGAAGAGTTACTCAGCAAGTTACTTTTATATTTGGTTTTGTGGGGCAGGCTTTCCTGTAGCCTAGGTTAGCTGGGAACTTGCTATAGAGCAGAGGATGACCTTGAACTTCTGATTCTCCTGCTTCCACCCAAATATAAAAAAGTATAGGATTGCAGTGTGTGCCACCATGCCCAGCTTTTCATTTTATTTTCATAGACTTTGTTTTTTTTTAGAGCTACTTTGAATTTACAACCCAATTAAATGAAGATAGAGACTTCCCATCTGACCTCTTCCCCTGCTAACTCCTCCCACCACCATCACCCCCTGAGCAGGCCTTGCATCACACCAGTATGCCTGCAGTGATTCCCCCAAGTGTCAGAGTCTGCTGTTCATGGGGCTCTCCTTGGTGTGGACACTCTGTGGGTTTGGACAGATGCATAATGTCCTGTTCCCACACAACAAGGCATGTGCAGTGGTTCTCTCTCTAAGTCATCCCTGCCCCTCCCACCCACACCCCTCCCCAACCCCTGGCAACATTTCACCAGCTCCATAGCTTTGCTTATCCAGATTGACTTCTTTCTGTCAGTAATATGCTTCTTTTTTTGTTTTTTTGGAGATATGCTATGGCTATGTAGCCCTGGCTAGCCTGGCACTAATTATGTAGCCCAAGCTAGCCTTCAATGCAGTCTTCCTGACTCCTGAGTACTGAGATTAGAGACATGCACCACCATGCCCAACTAGTAATGTGCTTTTAAGGTTGCTCTGTCTTCTGTGGTTTGGTATCTTGCCTCTCTTTAATCTTGAATAATGCTGTGTTGCCCACGTGCTCCATTGTCTGGGTGCTCCGATGTCTGGGTGCTCCGTTGTCTGGGTGCTCCGATGTCTGGGTGCTCCGTTGTCTGGGTGCTCCGATGTCTGGGTGCTCCG